TGACACTTTCCACCTCACAACACTGACACTTTCCACCTACAACACTGACACTTTCCACCTGACAACACTGACACTTTTCACCTGACAACACTGACACTTTCCACCTCACAACACTGACACTTTCCACCTCACAACACTGACACTTTCCACCTGACAACACCGACACTTTTCCACCTCACAACACTGACACTTTCCACCTGACAACACTGACACTTTCCACCTGACAACACCTACACTTTCCACCTCACAACACTGACACTTTCCACCTGACAACACTGACACTTTCCACCTGACAACACTGACACTTTTCACCTCACAACACTGACACTTTCCACCTGACAACACTGACACTTTCCACCTGACAACACTGACACTTTCCACCTGACAACACTGACACTTTCCACCTGACAACACTGACACTTTCCACCTGACAACACTGACACTTTCCACCTGACAACACTGACACTTTTCACCTGAAAACACTGACACTTTCCACCTGACAACACTGACACTTTCCACCTGACAACACTGACACTTTCCACCTGACAACACTGACACTTTCCACCTCACAACACTGACACTTTCCACCTCGCAACACTGACACTTTCCACCTGACAACACTGACACTTTCCACCTCGCAACACTGACACTTTCCACCTGACAACACTGACACTTTCCACCTGACCGACACCTGACACTTTCCACCTCACAACACTGACACTTTCCACCTGACAACACCAACACTTTCCACCGACAACACCGACACTTTCCACCTGACAACACTGACACTTTCCACCTCGCAACACTGACACTTTCCACCTGACAACACCGACACTTTCCACCTGACAACACCGACACTTTCCACCTGACAACACCGACACTTTCCACCTGACAACACCGACACTTTCCACCTGACAACACCGACACTTTCCACCTGACAACACCGACACTTTCCACCTGACAACACCGACACTTTCCACCTGACAACACCGACACTTTCCACCTGACAACACTGACACTTTCCACCTGACAACACCGACACTTTCCACCTGACAACACCGACACTTTCCACCTGACAACACCGACACTTTCCACCTGACAACACTGACACTTTCCACCTCGCAACACTGACACTTTCCACCTGACAACACCGACACTTTCCACCTGACAACACCAACACTTTCCACCTGAACAACACCGACACTTTCCACCTGACAACACCGACACTTTCCACCTGACAAACACCGACACTTTCCACCTGACAACACTGACACTTTCCACCTGACAACACTGACACTTTCCACCTGACAACACTGACACTTTCCACCTGACAACACTGACACTTTCCACCTGACAACACTGACACTTTCACACCTGACAACACTGACACTTTCCACCTGACAACACTGACACTTTCCACCTGACAACACTGACACTTTCCACCTGACAACACTGACACTTTCCACCTGACAACACTGACACTTTCCACCTGACAACACTGACACTTTCCACCTCACAACACTGACACTTTTCACCTGACAACACTGACACTTTCCACCTCACAACACTGACACTTTCCACCTCACAACACTGACACTTTCCACCTGACAACACCGACACTTTCCACCTCACAACACTGACACTTTCCACCTGACAACACTGACACTTTCCACCTCACAACACCGACACTTTCCACCTCACAACACTGACACTTTCCACCTGACAACACTGACACTTTCCACCTGACAACACTGACACTTTTCACCTCACAACACTGACACTTTCCCACCTGACAACACTGACACTTTCCACCTGACAACACTGACACTTTCCACCTGACAACACTGACACTTTCCACTCTGACAACACTGACACTTTCCACCTGACAACACTGACACTTTCCACCTGACAACACTGACACTTTTTCACCTGAAAACACTGACACTTTCCACCTGACAACACTGACACTTTCCACCTGACAACACTGACACTTTCCACCTGACAACACTGACACTTTCCACCTCACAACACTGACACTTTCCACCTCGCAACACTGACACTTTCCACCTGACAACATTGACACTTTCCACCTCGCAACACTGACACTTTCCACCTGACAACACTGACACTTTCCACCTGACAACACTGACACTTTCCACCTCACAACACTGACACTTTCCACCTGACAACACCAACACTTTCCACCTGACAACACCGACACTTTCCACCTGACAACACTGACACTTTCCACCTCGCAACACTGACACTTTCCACCTGACAACACCGACACTTCCACCTGACAACACCAACACTTTCCACCTGACAACACCGACACTTTCCACCTGACACCACCGACACTTTCCACCTGACAACACCGACACTTTCCACCTGACAACACCGACACTTTCCACCTGACAACACCGACACTTTCCACCTGACAACACTGACACTTTCCACCTGACAACACCGACACTTTCCACCTGACAACACCGACACTTTCCACCTGACAACACCGACACTTTCCACCTGACAACACTGACACTTTCCACCTCGCAACACTGACACTTTCCACCTGACAACACCGACACTTTCCACCTGACAACACCAACACTTTCCACCTGACAACACCGACACTTTTCCACCTGACAACACCGACACTTTCCACCTGACAACACCGACACTTTCCACCTGACAACACTGACACTTTCCACCTGACAACACTGACACTTTCCACCTGACAACACTGACACACTTTCCACCTGACAACACTGACACTTTCCACCTGACAACACTGACACTTTCCACCTGACAACACTGACACTTTCCACCTGACAACACTGACACTTTCCACCTGACAACACTGACACTTTCCACCTGACAACACTGACACTTTCCACCTGACAACACTGACACTTTCCACCTGACAACACTGACACTTTCCACCTGACAACACTGACACTTTCCCACCTGACAACACTGACACTTTCCACCTGACAACACTAACACTTTCCACCTCGCAACACTGACACTTTCCACCTGACAACACTGACACTTTCCACCTGACAACACTGACACTTTCCACCTCACAACACTGACACTTTCCACCTGACAGCACTGACACTTTCCACCTCACAACACTGACACTTTCCACCTCACAACACTGACACTTTCCACCTGACAACACTGACACTTTCCACCTGACAACACTGGCACTTTCCACCTGACAACACTGACACTTTCCACCTGACAACACTGACACTTTCCACCTGACAACACTGACACTTCCCACCTGACAACACTGACACTTCCCAAAACATAAATCATGAATACACTAACAGATACAGCAAGGACAACAGTGTTGAATTTCTGTTGTACTGGGTGTACTGGTCACTCATATTAACTACAGTACTGAGTACTGGGTGTACTGGTCACTCATATTAACTACAGTACTGAGTACTGGGTGTACTGGTCACTCATATTAACTACAGTACTGAGTACTGGGTGTACTGGTCACTCATATTAACTACAGTACTGAGTAACTGGGTGTACTGGTCACTCATATTAACTACAGTACTGAGTAACTGGGTGTACTGGTCACTCATATTAACTACAGTACTGAGTACTGGGGTACTGGTCACTCATATTAACTACAGAACTGAGTACTGGGTGTACTGGTCACTCATATTAACATACAGTACTGAGTACTGGGTGTACTGGTCACTCATATTAACTACAGTACTGAGTACGGTGTACTGGTCACTCATATTAACTACAGTACTGAGTACTGGGTGTACTGGTCACTCATATTAACTACAGTAACGAGTACTGGGTGTACTGGTCACTCATATTAACTACAGTACTGTACTGGTGTACTGGTCACTCATATTAACACAGTACTGAGTACTGGTGTACTGGTCACTCATATTAACTACAGTACTGGGTACTGGTGTACTGGTCACTCATATTAACTACAGTACTGATTACTGGGTGTACTGTCACTCATATTAACTACAGTACTGAGTACTGGGTGTACTGGTCACTCATACTAACTGCAGTACTGAGTACTGGGTGTACTGGTCACTCATACTAACTGCAGTACTGAGTACTGGGTGTACTGGTCACATCATATATAACTACAGTACTGAGATACTGATGTACTGGTCACTCATACTGACTACAGTACTGAGTACTGGGTGTACTGGTCACTCATATTCACTACAGTACTGAGTACTGGGTGTACTGGTCACTCATACTAACTACAGTACTGAGTACTGGGTGCACTGGTCACTCATACTAACTACAGTACTGAGTACTGGGTGTACTGGTCTCTCATACTGACTACAGTACTGAGTACTGGGTGTACTGGTCACTCATACTGACTACAGTACTGAGTACTGGGTGTACTGTCACTCATATTAACTACAGTACTGAGTACTGGGTGTACTGGTCACTCATATTAGCTACAGTACTGAGTACTGGGTGTACTGGTCACCCATACTAACTACAGTACTGAGTACTGGGTGTACTGGTCACTCATACTAACTACAGTACTGAGTACTGGGTGTACTGGTCACTCATATTAGCTACAGTACTGAGTACTGGGTTTACTGGTTACTCATACTGACTACAGTACTGAGTACTGGGTGTACTGGTCACTCATATTAGCTACAGTACTGAGTACTGGGTGTACTGGTCACTCATACTAACTACAGTACTGAGTACTGGGTGTACTGGTCACTCGCACGAACACCAGTGTTGAATACTGGGTGTACTGGCCACTCGTACGGACAACTGTGCCGAGTATTGGGTCTAATGGTTACTCATACTAACTTCAGTACTGAGTATTGGGTGTACTGGTCACTCGTAAGTACAACTGTACTGAGTACTGGGTGTACTGGTTCACTCATGCGAGAAACAGTACTGAATACTGGGTGTAATGGCCATTCATACGGACTACAAGTTAGCGAACTGGTTGTAAACAGAAGTTCTGGATGAACTACCTTGGGAACTGGAACTGGTACTGGTCCTAGAACTAGTTCTGGTACTGGTCCTGGCTCTGGTACTGGTCCTTGTACTGGTCCTAGAAGTGATACTAGTCCTGGCACTTGTACTGGTCCTGGTCCTGGTACTGGTCCTGGTACTGGTCCTGGTACTGGTCTAAGTACTGGTACTGGGAGGGACGGGGGTGAGTGAGAGAGTGGGAAGCAGTGGCAGTGAGAGGCAGTGATCCTGACAGTGTCACCTTCCAGCATAGACTGAACCAGAGCAGCCAGTGCCAGCCAGCCAGCCAGCCAGCCAGCCAGCCAGCCAGCCAGTCAGCCAGCCAACCAGCCAGCCAGCCAGCCAGCCAGCTACCACCACTACCACTACCACCACCACTACCACCACCACTACCACCACCACTACCACCACCACTACCACCACCACTAC